AAAAAAAAAAAAAAAAAAAAAAAAGGCTCAAGGTGCTGTATCCAGCATTGCGCCATTCGTTGTTCCGATTATCTGTGTTGATTGCTGCCTGTCTTGTCATCAACCCATCTTCCCCCAAATAGAACGTTCGGTCATTTCTGCTGTAGTATTTGGAGCAACTTCAAGTCTAAATACAGCCATAATGAACATGCTTCCTTAGGCTATTCAGTTGAAGACACTAGGGGATTTATGTGTATGACGATGAAATGTGCCACATTATTCGTGCTTATTTAGTCGGGAAAAGGGCTTCGTGGGGGGCGAAGCTGCTGAATCGTTCAGCGCACAACCCTTTGCTCCGTTCTGTCGATTGCTGCTGCTGCCGGCAGTCCTGTCGCCCACAAGGGTCGCAGTGATTTCGGAAACATGGTCGATAATTGCCGATTCCGCTTTGACGCAGGCGAGTTCCGGCAGCCTCGTTGAAGGCTGCTGAATCATCCAGTGCACAACCCTTTGTCCCGGTCTGTCGATTGCTGCCGTCAATTTGAAAAGTAGAAACACGACGGGAAAAAAAAATCGCACTAAACCGCACGTGATCGCACCATGAGACAATCACATGGTAACATGAGACCGCCACGTGCGGTTTAGCGCGTTTTTTTTTTTTTTTTTTTTTTTTTTTTTTGTCTTGTTTCTACTTTCAAATTGACAGCAGCAATCGACAAACTGGAGCAAATTGACATGACCTGCTCGTTGACCGCAAACAACAAAATGAGAAAATCATGCGATGAAAGACAAGTAGACAGATAACTTAATCCGAGCGCAGGTGGCGCGGCAAAAAAAAAGCATCATCAACAGAGCACATCAAACTGGTGGTTTAGCGACCCTACCGGTTTCTACCGGTCGCCAGTCCGGCGCCGTCAGGGGTCTACGTCCAGCAAGGATTGCTGCTGGCAGTCCTGTCATCCACAGGGGCATCTCGGGAACATGCTCGATCACTGCGGATTCCGCTTTGACGCAGGCGATCCCTAGCCTCGTTGAAGGCTGCTGATTCGCTCAGCGCTCAGCGCTCAACCCTCTGCTGAGTCTGCTACACTCTGTCGATTGCTGCTGCTGGTAGTCCTGTCATGATGTGTGTCATCCACAGGGGCATCCTGGAAACATGCTCGATCATTGCAGATTCCGTTTTGATGCAGGCGATCCCTAGCCTCGTTGAAGGCTTCTGAATCGCTCAGCGCTAAGACCCTCTGCTCTACTCAGACTGTCGATTGCCGCTGCTGGCAGTCCTGTCATCCACAGGGACATTGCAGAAACATGCTTGATCATTGTAGATTCCGCTTTGACTCAGGGGAGCGCCAGCGTCGTTCTCCACTCTCATTCATTCTGCGGACGCAGACTCTATGGCCGATGGTGCTGAACGAGTCATTGCACGTCCTTTGCTCCACGTTCTGTCGATTGCTGGCTGGCTCGGCTGTCATTCACTAGCTCGCCTGTCATCCACTAAGGCATTCTTGAAACGTGATCGTAGTTCCGCTGGCGATTCCACTTTCTTGCACGATAGCTCCAGCCTTGATGGCGCTGAACAAGTCATTGCACGCCCCCCTTCCTTTGCTCCACTCTGCCGATCGCCCCCTGGCTGTCCTGTCGGCCATCAGGGCTTTTTTTTTTTTTTTTTTTTAATAAAACAGGGCTTTATGGCCCTGGCTCCTTCCATTCTGGGGAGCATCAGTCCGGTTCCTATTCCACCGGCAACCATCAGGGCATTTCTGAAAATTATTGCGATCGTAATTGCACTGCCCATTCCACCTTGATGCAGTACAGCTCAAGACTGAGTCTGTTTATCATCTCCTCCTCCTCCTCTTCCTCCTCCTCCTCCTCCTCCTCCTCCTCCTCCTCCTCCTCTTCTTCTTCTTCTTCTTCTTCTTCTTCTTCTTCTTCTTCTTCTTCTTCTTCTTCTTCTTCTGCTTCTGCTTCTGCTTCTTCTTCTGCTCTTCCTCCTCCTCCTTTTTCAGAATCTCCTTCTTATTCTTATTCTTCAGAAGGGTGATCCCTGTACTGCATCAAGTTGGAATGGGCAGTAGTGCAATTACGACTGCATTGCGTTATCATCATCCAGTTGAGCGGATCCAGGTAATTCAGAATTATGTCATTGCATACATCTACTAGGTCCATCAGAATTCAAACTGGGGTCTGTATTTGGGTGTGGATTCCATCCACATCCATTCAGAATCTGCACATGAGCGTACCAACTGAGCTAGGCTCGTTGGTACTCTTGTTTATCTGTTCTTATTTGGTCGGTCAGTGAATGGATGTCATTGACAGCTTTTCGACCAAGGGGGGCGAATCATCAGTAAGTGTGTGCACGTGCTTTGCTCCAATCCATCATAGATGCCTGCCTGCTGTGTCATTCAGAATGATGTGTCTAACACCTGGCGATAGATCGATCGATCACCTGCGATCGATCGATCACATGCGATCGACTTGGTCATTGTCAGAGATGATGATGTGTACGTGCTTGCGTTCTTTTCGCTGACTACACTACTATTTGCTTGTGATAAACAACTCAACGATCATGGGGAGAAACTCCAAGTTGAACCTCCTTTGCTCTTTCCTCTCCCCCC